GAACTCATGCAGAAGTGGTTTAAGCTTCTTTGTGCTGTGCTTTAACCCGCTGCGCCACCAGGGAGGGCCCTCATTCCTCTTTGTTGTGTATGAGTTTTGAAGGGAAGTCTGCTGTTGTTCTCAATTATATTTCTCGGTACATGTATATCTACTTTTATTGACTGTATTTAAGATTTCCCATGGTACTTTACAGCAATTTAGTTAAGATTTGTCTTAATGATGTAATTTTCTTGTAATTTCTACAAGGATTTTCTTAAGCTTCTCAAGTCTGTGGTTTGAAATTTTTTCCCAACATTTTTAATCTTCTAGAACTCTATAGATATGTCTAATTGTTCAATATTATTGGTGCTTTGCTCACTTAGTGTTTTTTCTTTTCCATAGTCTTTATGACTTTATTTTCAAATTCATTGATATTTCCTTCTCCGGGGCCTTATCTGATAACAATCAACACAATATATTGATCATTTTAGGTATTATACTTTTCATCTCTTGAAGTTTAACTTGTTCTTACTTGGTATCTTTCATCATCATGTTCATTTTTCTTCAACCTTCTTGAGTTTATGGGGTATGTTTATAAGAAGTGTTTGAATTTTCTTGTCTGCTTGTTCTATCAATTGTGTCATTTTTTAGTCTGGTTTCTTTATTAATATTTTTTTCCTATTGCTCAGGAGTCGTATTTCCCTGTATCTTTTGCCTGCCAGGCTTTGATTGGATTCTAAACATTTTGTTTAACTTGGGTGCCAAATTTGTTAAATTCCTTATATATGGTAAGGCTAAGCCTTGGATTTAGAACATAGTTACTTATAGTCCTTTTTATTGCTTTGGGGTTTGTTTTTAAGTTTTACTAGAATGGCTGGAGAAGACTTTATAATCTGGGGTGATGTCATCCCACTACCAAGGAAATATCCTCCTGAGACATCTATCCAATGCTTCCTATGTTAGAAAATAAAACAGGAGATATAGTGGAGACATAAAGTACTCCCAGTATTATGTCACTGTGGGGATAGTTGGTCTGCTCCTTCTGGGCGTTCTTTTCCTAGACTTTGGTAATTCACAGATCGCAACTCAGCTACAGACCAAGCAGAGCCATCTACAGACCTCTGTAACTTTCTCTGCAGTTCTTTTCTCTCCAATTTATTTTCCCTTGAAAATTCTAACTACCTATCAGAACTCAAACTCTGATATGTCAGCTCATGCAATCCACTGGCCTGTTGGGTCTTCCTCCTCTTTAACTGCCCTAGAGACACCCTCTACACAGGAAACTAGAGAAATTGCAGGGCTCGCTGTATGTGTTTTCCTTCTCAATGATTATTATGTTTTGTTATCTGTTTTTAAAAGTCTGAAAATGCATTGTGTCAAATGTTTTATTCCATTTAAAATTCCAATTTAAAGTAAGAAGGTAAATCTGGTCATCCAGAAGGTCTGGAAGTGAACATTCCCTCAACATTAATTATCTAAAGTAGGAGTTGGACAACTAGAGCCCATGGGTCAAATCCAGGCCATGACTTGTTATAAAGAAAGCTTTATTGGACCACAACTGTACTAATTTGCTTGTTTTTATATAGCAGCTTCATGCTAGCTACAAATGGAGAGTTGAATATTGGTGAATATTAGCTGTGACCAAAATGTACTTTGTCAGTGACTTAAATTTATTACATAAGTGAATATTTTTATTTGCTTTTCCCCATGAATTATTTACCATTACTGTAAATGCAAAAGATGTAATTCTAGGGCCACCTTGGTGGCACAAGGGGTTAAGTCTCAGCACTATGAAGCTATCTGCAGTCACAGCAGCACAAATTCAATCCCTGGGAGGGAGCTAACCCACAGAGCACAGCAGAGCTCTCCTGTCTCACCTGCTGCTCTCTTTTACACTGTATTGCAGTAAAATCCACTTGTCTGCTACCCACTCTGTCTCTGGCAGATCCTCTCACTGCCTATGCCTCTGGTGTACATCCCGGCTCTTGTCTGCAAAAATAAATAAAACAAATATTAAAATTTTTAAAAAATTTTATAACAGTTTATTTTTACATCATTTTGTACATCCCCTCCCCCATCTCTATTGTAATCCCCACGGGTTTCCCATCACCAAGTCACCCATGTGCCATCACCATAATCCCGTGCAATTCCCTCCCCTCCTCCATCCTCACCCCCGTTTTTGATCCCATTCCCCATTCCACCCCCACAAAATGTCTCTGGTATATGGCTGTTCATTATTCTTGTTATTTTCTTGCCTGGTCCATTATACTCCTGCTATGAGTGAAACCATCCGGTATTTTTCTTGCTCTTTTTGGCTTATTTCACTAAGCATGATCTTTTCCAGCTCCATCCAAGTTGCTGCAAAAGACATGTGTTTCTCTTTTTTGGTTGCTGAGTAATATTCCATTGTATATATGTACCACATCTTTCTAATCCAGTCATCTACTTTTGGGCATTTGGGCTGCTTCCATGTTTTTCCAATTGTAAATAAAACAGCAATAAACATGGGGGTGCAGGTATCTTTTTCAATCAGTGTAAACAAATATTTTTTAAAAATTAAAAAACTTTGCTGTCCCTGGTGATGCAATGGGGTTAAAGCTCCGCATGATGAAGCACTCAGAAGCCACTGCAGCACGAGTTCGATCCCCAGCCAGGGA